ATTCATATTGTATGTTCAACCGCCAAAATAATCGGGAAAGTATCTTATTAAATATCAGTTCCAACTAAAATTAAATTAACTTTAGATGTGAACACATAAACACAAAGCAAAGAAGCAGAGATGTCAGTATTAGATCTATATGTTATAGATCTACCAGAGAGTCTAACTCTTTGGTAGAACATGACAATTATCATTTTTTAAATTTCACATTTGGCTGTTTTTGTTAGCCTTTTGCGGCCAGGAGCTGGTGTCATAATCGAGGTCATGATCTGATTATAGGACAGTAAAAAGTCGAGGAAAAAAAACAAGCACATGCAGCAGTAAAGAGATTGTTAGGAGTTAGTTCCCCTCACATTTGTGAGGTAGACTCGACCAGTGTTCGTTAGCTTACTTAATCAGGGCTTGTGATTGATTTTAACTGTGGCCCCAAAGGGGTGAACAGGGTATATGTGGTAATGAAACAGCCATGGCTGCTATGCACATGTTCCCTCAACTGTATTGGTAGATTCTTTCAGCCTCACTTTAAGCTTACTTAATCAAAGCTTGCGACGGATTATGGAGTGCCCCGAGAGGGGTGAGGAGGCTATTTATGTGGCCGTGAAACCGTTTTGAATGTTAGGCATGCTCATTGTGGATTACGAACCTCTTTTTACTTTTAATTTAAGAGGTTTACGTTTAAGGATGAATTTGACAGCGACAATGTTTCAAAATTAGGAGTGATTATTTGATTATATAGACGCTTCGCCCCTGGGGCCCAGTGAATGAAGCAAGGATGGACAGGATCACTGCGGGGCATTCTATTAGGTATAATTCACGCTCGTCTTCCCATCTGTTATTTCAACAGCAGAGATTGTGCTCCTCCACCCACCCACCAGGACGTCTGTCACCTAACAACGTCAGCAGGGAAGGACAAACAATAATGAAGTATGCTAAAACTGGAAACAGGTGTAGTCATGAAAGATCCTCTCCAAAAGCTATTGAAAGGTTTTGGTTTTTAAAAAGGCTGGGAAGCAGTAGCTTATACATTCATGTCTGGATAGGAAATAATACATGAGAATAATAGTGAGACAAAAATAATTACAAAACGAGAGAGAACATAATTGTGGGATCATTAAGCGCAAAACTAGCAGAAATGGAAGTGTTCAAATAAATTCACTGGCGTTGCTAAATGAGGTAAGCAACATAATGTTCAAGTGAATAAAGCTAGAGTTCACGGCTGTTTAACACAATACCATTAACTTGTCACAGCACAGTAATTAGTAAAAAGAAATAAAATAAATAAAACCACAGGAGTGGCGATTTACCTGTCCTGCAATCCAGTCTCTCGATCAGACAAGGACTCTGTTTCAGGACCAGCCTATGACAAAATAAAATGGGTTTTTTTGGGGTTATTTTCGTGGACGCCAACCAGAATCTTTCCAAAGACAAAGACTAAGTAAAATACATAAAAACATGAAAACAATTTTTTTTAAATCCAAAAAACGTTTTTACAACACAAAATCAAGTTATAAAAGATAGTACAAATCACAAATACAATAGGAAACCAGCTTTTTACAAGAGATGGGTGTAAAATGCTACCACAAAAAAGAATGATCTTAAGTCAAATGGAACACCTCAACTTAAGTAAATTATAATGTGATTTTGAATATTTCGTTGTGTGATAATTGATCAAAATAATAATAAGTGATCACTTTTAGACTTTCTGTTTAGCTTTGAAAGGGCAGCATCTTCGAAGAAGGAATATGAATATTCTGTAGCCCATTTTCGAGTCTGGACATTTGGAATAACCGTCTTACGGGTCAGGGGAAGTGGATCAGTGAAGATTGTCAGTTTTCTTTATTTTCCTGAATATAGACAGTCAGGAAAGTACATTTAAAATACGGTGTCGAGAGAAATCCTTTCTCACGAATGGTCAGGGATGCAGTCTTAGTTCTAAAAGACATCTTATACAAGTCTTTTACAGCCGGTATGGGCTTGGAATGTCCCGTCTGAGAGAACAAAAAGAGTAGACGAACGTACGAGATTGTATTTTTTAAACAAACGTTTTTTAAACTTCAAATTTGCACCAAAAAATAATTCCGGGTATCTGTTTGTTTGTTTTTGTTATGTTTGTGTGTGAGTGTGTGTGTGTGTGTGTGTGTATGAGTGTGTGTATGTGTATGTGTGTGTGTGTGTGTGTGTGTGTGTGTGTGTGTGTGTGTATGTTTAAGTGTGTGTGTGTGTGTGTGTGTGTGTGTGTGTGTGTGTGTGTGTGTGTGCTGTTGGGGGGGGGGGGGCAGCAGGTTCAAAGTGTACCTTAACAGACGGGACGGTAACATCATTGTCCTGGCTAAGATGTAGTCGAGGAGAAGGCTCTGCTTCTTCTAAAACATCCTCCAAGTCTTCGTTCATTTCAATCCAGTGTCTCACCTGTAAGTCAGAAAATATCTCAGTAAGACATTTTAAAATACCCCCGCAGAAGGAGTAAGTCAGGAAGCTGGCACTGAAAAAGAATGTGTTTATTTGCACCCAAAAAAAAGGGGGGGGGGTCAATTTTACTCTCAGAAGCCCTGTATTCCCAGACAAGAAAAAGGGATGGGGAGCTTCTCTTTTGCAGGGAGTAATCGGGAAAGATCTACCTGTCCTTCCGTTCGCCCATCAGTCAATATACTTTGTCTGCCTTGTTGTCTATTTGCCTGCCTGTCTGTCTGTCAGTCTGCCTATCCGTTTGTTCGTCTGTCTTTCACTCTTCCTGTTATTCACGGTCGGAACTCCGCAGAACGCCATCAGATTCGGTTTCATTCTTATGTTTCTGTTTCTATTTCAGTCTATGACCTCTAATAGCCTAACTCGACCTCTGACCTCAGTGTCGCTGGTCATGCAAAATGTGAGCAGTCTGCATCTCAATTGTCTGCCCTCAACCTTAATATGGAAAAAAAGTAAAAGTATAACATTTACATGTGTTTAACGCAGTACATAAGGTTCTTTAAGGCAGAAGCTCTGAAAGTAACGTCCATCTCCTATAAAACCGTTCCAGATGGGTTGAGAGCCTTGAAAATCCTTCAAAACAACCCTAGTTCAAGAGGCCCCAGTGTGGGATTCGAATATGTAGCCCGGCATGATACCAACTGAGCTGTCGGAGCAGTGGCATGGAGAACTATTGTCCTACGACTTTTTTTGTTTGCACATCGGTTTGCTTGTTCAACATGATATCATTATCCAAGTCTGCATAACGCACTGACCAATTTCAGATAATATTTGTCTTTGTACTATAAAGACAAGAATGTTTTGATTAATTGTTTTCCTCTCTCATCATTTGACGATTAGAAGACGCATAAAATATTGTTGCAAAATACAAACAACACAATACCATGGCCCATGAATTAGTATCTCCAACACGGAGGTCAACGTAACAGAGACCTCAATTCTTACACTAAAGGGTCAGGGCTTGGATAGTCATTATTCGAATTTGCAACAACTGAAGATTCCAGCAACAATCTTCAACTTCACAACCGAATTGCCAGTGTTACAAATTTGTAAATGTGTAATTATAGCTGTTTTACGTCCCTGTGTGCGGCGGTGGAATACTTAACCGCTATACCACACATGCCGATATTGTTTCAATAGCGTTGGACAATGTGACAAAAAGACAAAAGAGGCCAACCTTCTGGTGCGATGACGAATCGTCCGAAAGAGTCTCGCCATGAGAAAATCCAACTGTCTTTTTCGTTGTAGGAGTTCTCAGAGGCTGTTCTGGGACCGCTCTGAGATGTTGATAAGTAAATTTGAAACATAATTATTGGGATTCTCAAAATTGATCCCAGAATAAGGTCAGTCACTAACGTAGCACGTGTGTGTGCGCGTGTGTGTATGTGTGTGTTTGTGTGTGTGTGTGTGTTTGTGTGTGTGTGTGTGTGTGTGTGTGACTGTGTGTGTGTCTGTGTGTGTCTGTGTGTGTCTGTGCGTATTCTGGAATGGGGGAGGGGTCATGGATTAAGTGGTAAGACCTTCTGCACTATTCAAGAGTTGTTTCTATATGACTATCCTGCATATTTGTAACAACGGTGTTTTTGTGATTTTAATCTAGGCCTTTAAGAACTTATTGGGCGTATATTATTATGTCTGATGAGCAGCAGATCAAACAGCCACGTGCAGAACATTTCAGACTAAAACACACAAATCAGAAAGAGGAATTGTATTATTTGAAAGTGTGCAAGTTGTTTCCTGCCTATTTATAAGTTTCAGAAAAAGAAAAAAGAATCGCATGAATATCGAAGTTATGCTTCTTTTTTCAAGTGCCCGTATACGGCGGGTCTTCGAGCATCGTTGATTAACAAGAATGCGCGTTCTCAACGAGTTAACTAAATCAAACCAGTACTAGAGAGACGGCACTTCGCCCGGATGCGCGTATCTGGGTCACCAGCTGATCGTGGAGAAACGCGCGATAAACAAAACAAACTGCGTCCATTGTTCAAGGCATTTTCGTTGATCGCAGACAAGCATGGCCCCGGTTAGCACGAAATGTCAATGGTGTTCTGCTATAAACTGTACCTATTAGAATTAAAATCTGAGTTTCTTTCGATTTCCAAAGGATGACGAATATATTTTGATGAATAGAAAAAATTAGATATCAGACTGATACTCCATGCACAAACTAAACACACGTCAGCTTTGTTATATCAGCTATAAATATGGTTGTTGTTGGGGTTTTTCCTGTGTAAATGCCAAAATTGCACTTTTATTCTACTACTACTAGTGAAAGATATGTTACCTGGATATGCGGAAAGATGGTCTAAATACAAAGTGCCATCGATCGGTTTTGTTACTTTCTTTGTCCGATTACCACTTTTTTTTTGGGGGGGGGGGATGGGATGGGGGGATGGAAGGTGTTGGGGATCCTATTAAACTCCTTAAGTGGTACATCTATCATTATTGCTTTATGTGCTTTTCCATGATCTGAAATTATGAGAATTTAATATAATGTGTGTGTGTGTGTTTGTGTGTATGTGTGAGAGTGTGTGTGTGTGTGTGAGAGAGAGAGAGAGACAGACAGACAGACAGACAGACAGACAGACAGACAGACAGACAGACAGACAGAAACAGAGACAGAGAAACAGACTGACAGATTGACATAAAATTATAGACAGATTGACACATAGACAGAGCGAGAGAGGGGAGACAGAGAGACAGAGAAAGGGAGACAGACAGAGACAGGGAGAGAGAGAGAGAGAGAGAGAGAGAGAGAGAGAGAGAGAGAGAGAGAGAGACAGACAGACAGACAGAGAGAGACAGACAGACAGACAGACATATAGACAGAGCGAGAGAGGGGAGAAAGAGAGACAGAGGAAAAGAGACAGAGAGAGATATATGGATAGATAGATAGATAGGGAGAAAGAGAGAGAGAGAGAGAGATAGAGAGAGAAAGAGAGAGAGAGAGAGAGAGAGAGAGAGAGAGAGGGAGAGAGAGAGGGGGGGCAGACAGACAGACAGACAGACAGACAGACTGGGGGAGAGAGGAGGGAGAAAGAGAGACAGTGAGAGAGAAAAAGAGACAAGGGGAGAAAAAAGACAGACAGACAGACAGACAGAGAGGGAGAGAGAGATGACAGAGGGACACTGGAGTAGATTTGCTGAAAATTAAACCGATTATTCCTTACCTAGTGAACTAACTATAGACGGTACTACATTTTCTCATGACATGACAGCATCCCTTTGCCGTGGCAGCGATCACCGCGCGTAAGTGTTTTCGCGCCCCGCGCCGGGAGTTACGCGAATTAATGCACTGTTGTTATGGAGCGCCGCCACGAGTGTCACCTCTCTATTACTGTAAACCCTCTCTGATCAAACCAGAATCCAGAATAGTTACGGCAAAGAAAGGCACAAGAGTATTGAGCGGACAGAAACGAGAATGGCTCTAAAACATATTATACAAAACGGTACAGAAAAGTCTTTTCCAAAATTTGATTTTTTGTATATCCCCATCTACACAATATCGATTACTTAGAAGACTAGCCGCTTCGACCCTGCCAACCAGGGCTCTGAGGGGTAGAGTGAGATAATAAGTCTAAGTAAATAGAACACACGAGAATTAAAGTCGCATTTCCTGAAAAGAACGTCGACAAGAATGTCCTGCCGCTGTCAAAACGACAACAAATAATAAAGAGAAACTAGAAAGCGGTGACTTGTCCTCCGCCCGTCCTAAGCCCTACCTACCCCGACGACCATTGAACTGAAGCAAGAGGTGCTGCCGTATTCCTCAAAAGGTTCCCACGCAAAAACTTGTGAGACTACTATGTAGTCTGATCTACCGCCAGATATACACGTGATATACATACTATAGTTAAGTGGGGTTCCAAATAATATTTCTCTACTAAGGTGGGTGGTGCTACCTCCCCCACCCCCACCCCTCAAAAAGATTATATATATATATATATATATATATATATATATATATATATATATATATATATATATATATATATATATATATATATATATATATATATATATGTATAAAATTATATATATATATTTATTTATTTATATATTTATATATATTGTGAAAGTCTGCAGCCAGATCTACTGATACTATCAGTGATAGTGATAGATATAAAGACGAGCAATATAATTGTACAATGAGAAAACTTCGATTTACAAAACACCCGTTCGTGTTATGTAAAGCCTAAAACTTTAAGTCATTAAAACATAATAATATAGCTGAAACTGAAGCTCTGGCCGAGGGTACTATGCCTACCTTACACTTGTGTCTTCCTTTGTTTCATAGTCAGCTGGTGGCTCTAGTCCTCCAGACTCCGCTTCCATCTCCTGTCTTCTTTTTCGGGCTTCTTCTTCTTTTAATTTTCTCTCTCTTTCGCGTCTAAGAGCGTCCAATTTGTGTTCCAGAATGTCCCTCTGGCCGTTTTTCAGGAAAATCTGTTATACACAGAAATTTACCATTAGCTTTGTGAACTTTTAATTACAATGGTTGTTTCTGTTTGAAAAGCCCTTTTTTCTGTTTCTCACCTGACTTCCGCTTATATTTCCATGAAATCTTCATATTCAGTCAGTCGGACTATGGGGTTGTTTTGAATCTTTTTGCCGCGCCCCTACTTTTCTGTCAATTTCTTCCAATGTTTACTGCTCTTTCTAGTTTACCACTTCTCATACATTTTCCTTACTAATTTCCCTTCCCTCCTAACCATTGTCTTCAAACGCCTAATTCTGGTCTGAACCGTGTCTTTTGACAGTAATGAACACTACTGAGTCATGTGTCTTCATCTAATTAAGTGCAAATATTGAAAGACATCATCGGCATACAACCCAGCAGATCATTGTACCAAGTGCTTATAGAAACGGAACAAAGGTAAAGTGAAGTGTACCAGCTCAACACGATATCGGGGGGACGAATGTACACAATCTATCTAAGCCACTAAAGGAAAGATTTTGTCAGAGAGTTCTAAATCTGTTATAATAATAAAATAATAGCTTAACTGCACAAAGGAGGAAGCCATAAAAATCGTTTTCCTGTTTCAAGTAAAGAAATTTCAATGTGTGGTTGGTTGGTGCTTTTTTGTTCCTTAATATAGGTGTTTTGTGCCACCATCGACACAATTTAAATCATTTGGGGGGGGGGGGGCTTCCAACCTTGCCTGCAATGGCCAACCCGGGCTGAGAGGGTTACAACATTCGAGCTCTTAGATCGAGATGTTCGAATAAAAGTGTTCTCCCCGCTCTAGGATTGAACTCGGGTCTCCTGCGTGCGACTGTGAAGCGCCTAATCGCTGCACCACAGACGGCTGTGAACGTGTTAGCCAAAGCATCGGGAAACATGATTTTCAAAGTGTAGTGGATGCCTATTTCGTAACAAGACTAAAGCTGTTGTTATGCAAGCTGACACACCATTTAATACAAGCATTCATTATGAGGCCAGTTTATATAATGAACTCATTATGATATCAGTGAGGACTAATTATGAGAATAGTTGGTTGAAAGTAACACGCTGTTTTGAAAGCCCCTTTCCTCCCTATAAAAAGGCGAAAGACAACAGATGAATTGAACGTATCTTAAAGTCATTCATTAAAAACTTCTACAACAAAACACCTGTCTTAATGTGGCATTATTGTGTATTTGTATGTCATAAACAATAGAAAAAAAACATACAACAATGCCCAGTCATTAGAAAAATGCAGTATTGCTTATTTCTCACGCGGATACACCATCCGTATTCTCTCTCTTTCTCTCGTTCCCCCTCTCTCTCCTCCTATCTCTCTCTCTCTCTCTCTCTCTCTCTCTCTCTCTCTCTCTCTCTCTCTCTCTCTCTCTCTCTCTCTCTCTCTCAAGCCACTATTATCTCGTCAGGAAGAAAAGACAATGAGGACCGAGAGGCCAGAAAGACAAGTACAGGGGACAGTACGTAACAGCAGCACCTTCAACAGCAGGACAGGGTTACATGCAGTAGAAAGAGGAAGGAAATAGTTGTGACGAAAAGACACGGCTCAACCTGACCTTTGTCCGACCTACAGCGGATCCTTTCAGCTGGCAGGCGTTGACGATCACTCTTGCCTCAGCGGGAGATCCATAGAGGCGCACTGAAGTCTCGAAGCCGATGTCCCGAAACCTGAATAGAACTCAACAATCAGGTAAGACAATGAATTAGTTATCTCAGCACTGGAGCTGGAAATCCTGTTCTTGCAATAGGGAATTTCAAAGCTGAAAAGTTTTGTAGAGTCGTATATGATGTCATGATTTCAAAGTGCTGTCGGACTGCATTCTTGCCTCCAGTACACCCATAAAATCATTACGGTTTTTATATTTAACTAATCTTTGCTGCTTTTTTGTAGTTGAAAAAGAAATAATAAGATATAAAATGACTGAGTAAACCCCTCAAATGAAGAAACTTCTAAGATAACCAGGGATGGAAGCGTTATTTTCAGATAGTCTGGACATCCGGGTAATGTCCTTTTGGCTTGTGCGTTTATCTCAGATGAGTGTGCCTCAAGTCTAAAAGAAGTATATATAGAAATGAGTTAACTGAGAAAATGCTTGATTCAGCCAGTTCTGGGCTATAGACATGCGGATAAAGAGGAGTCTTCTAATCAACAGCCCCATTGAGCAAAAAAAAACAATCAAAGTGATTGGATACACGTTTTCCCACGTGTGGCTCCTTGTGTCTTAACTTCTTACACATCAATATGTATCAAATTTGACTTCCTTTTGTATTTTAATAATACATACTTCAAAGAACAATTGGAAAGTTCAGGGATTTAGAAGTGTGTTTCTTAACAGAAAGCGGATTACTGTGGAAAATTAATAAATTCTCCGTTTGGAGAAAATGGAGGGACGCATATGGCTATGGTCACCATACCACGTCGACACCTATAAAAGCAAGCACCAAAAATACAAGTGGGCAAAAGAAAGAGGTCCCATTAAAAGGCCAAGAAATAGGTTTGTAATATTCATTTAAAATTGGGTAAAACGCAAAAACATTGGGGCCAATTTTTTAAAGAATTCTGCTACAAGGACATGAACCAGTTCATTCTGGCTTAATGTTGAAAACGGTAAAAAGTATCGCCCCCACATCAGATGGATATCTCACCATGCTGAGAAAGTGGGTGAGAAGTTAAGAGAGAAGAAGGTTTTGTCCTGTTAGTTGAGGAGGTCTGAATCATGTATAATGGAGCCACACCCCATCAAGAGTGGACCGCGTATGGTTGCAAAGAAGATTTGAAGAACGCCTTATAAGCTGAACTTAATGATTTCAGAACATTTCCCCGACTTGAGTACCTTCCAATAATACCGTTTGGGATTTTTAGAGACACATTCTAAAGAATAGCCCTCAAACAATCGAACAAAAATCGACCCAAAAGCATTCCAATGCATTATTCAAAATTGTTGGTGGTGTTTTGAGCCTTGTCTTGAGAGAAAGTCAACACCTGAAGCATACAACTCATATACCTACAGCTTTCCAAGAGTTTATTTGGCAATGTCAATTATTCAAATAAAGAAATTTAATATTTATATA